GCCACGTATTTCTAGAAATATCCTGTTCCTTCAAGAATGCCCTGGCATTTACTAGGTACGTGTTAGTCTTGTATATTTCAGACGTTCACAACGTGATGGGACAACAGTGTAATGTGTAATTGAATGTATGCGGACAAAATATTGTTGGCCACGTGAGACGTGAGTTATAGCGTTTGTTATAGAGCGACTGTTGAAATTAAGTGCATCGTAAAGTTGTATTCGGAAGGAATAAACCAGTTTTATTAAGTAAGGACTTGTGTCGCTAAAGTTTCGTCGGAACGAAGTTACAGAAAATCAACTAACGAACGGAGATGTAAGAGTATCATACAGAACACCAACAACTGAGAAATGCTTATAAGTAGGAAAACCATGACGGAAAACAGCTATTATACCCAAACTTTTCGACATTTTCTTTTGAGCAACGCGTTCTTGTCAGTTTTCTAAGAAAAATGTGCAGTCAGTCTTGTTCTCTAAAATCCTCTCGAACTCGATGTCGGACCACCAATATTAAAATTTCTAAAATCTAAATGTAGAAACTTACTTTTCTGCGATCTCTTCCGTGTCCTCGCTAATTTGCTTGCAAGTCCGTGGATCCAATCTTCAGATGCCCCAGTGAGTCAGTAATTAGTCTCCTGATTTATAATGCTAGGATCCTGGGTTCGATTCGCCGCGGTTGACAGAGCGCAAATAGCCCACTGTGTAGCTTTGTGCTAAAAAAAAATCAACAACCAACCAAACCATCCTCGGAACCTCGCCCCCTCCCCATGTCACAGCCGACTTATGACACTGAAAACTGGGTTTCGGTAACCGTGTTGGGCAAAGCACAGGTAGCCCATTGTGTAGCTTTGAGCAAAAAAAATCAACAACCAACCAAACCATCCTCAAAATCTCGCTCTCCCCCCCCCCTCCAGTGTCACAGCGGCCTTTTAGCACTGAAAACTGGGTTTCGATACCCGTGGTGGATACAACACAGGTAGCCTACTGCGTATTTTTGTGCTTAACAGCAAACAAAAGAAACTCAAACCCCCATTTTAACTCAATATAGGAGCTCGAACTTTCTGGAATTTTAGTTTAGATTATTGTTTTGAGCACTCTTTACCTTTTAATGACAATTTTTTTTTTAAAAAAGTGCAGTCCAACGTGTGAATGTCCAAAACTCCCTTGATCTCCCCTCACAACTCTTGTTTTTCTTCGTTATATATCTGGGGTCAAAAGGTTACACGTTGTTTTGTCAACATGTGGTGGAAGATCACTAATCATACATTGAGAAGAGTGTTCCAGCTGAAGATTTCTAACGATAAAAACCGGATTTCTAACGATAAAAAC